GTGTGTGTGTGTGTGTGTGTGTGTGTTGTTTTTCTGCAATTGGTCAGGTTGCTATTTGTCACAAAAGAATCATGAACAGAAACAAATTTTACTTAACCTTTGCCTGAGGCATGGTTTTGCTGTGACAAACACACCCCCATAACTGAATGTGTATAAAGGTCTACCATGGCAAGTAGAGCTGATTACTGATAGAGGATAACTATGTCAGTGTTGGGGCTTTTGCTTATTATTGTACAGATGAGAAAAGGAATGCCTGTTTGTCAACTGAAAGGCTTAGCACAATCAACTGATCTTGCTCAGGATGATGATATTTTTATGGGAGTCATTTTTTTTTTCCTTTTGCACAGATCAGGATTTTTTATTGACACATTTCAGTCAATTCCAGACCTCAGAAAATGTTTCAAGTATGGATTATACCACTTTTAAACACATTCAAGCTTTTAGATTTGAACCTTATACTTAGATTTTTCATGCTGTGTTTCACAGTTTCAATTTTAGAGAATTTAAATTAGCTCAAACAATGATATTTGCTTTAAATGAAATCAACAAAGATCCCTGCATGCTGTCTGGTGTTAGAGTTGGCTACAAGATTTATGATAGCCATGGACATACTGAGAACTGCACTGGCTCTTKTAAGTGGACTAAAAAGAGAAGTCGGTGATGACAACTGCACAAAAACTGATACAGTGCACACTATTATACATACTATTATAGGACATTCAGGATCAAGCCCAACAATTGCATTTGCACAGGTTGTCGGAAGATTTCATATACCTGTGGTAAGTTTAAGAGGAAGAGTCCATTTTGTTAAGTATGGTGTTTTTGTGCTACAAAATTGAAAATATTGCTTCATCAATATTTTTTCTATGGTATATTCTCTGTCACTGCATGTGGGATGGTTTGAATGTTTCTTCTTGTTTGTAGATTAGTCATTTTGCTGCCTGTGCTTGTCTGAGCAACAGAAGAGAGTATCCGACATTTTTCAGAACTATTTCCAGTGATTACTACCAAAGCAAAGCTCTGGCAAAGCTAGTGAAGTATTTTGGGTGGACCTGGGTTGGTGCTAGCTGTGAATAATGAATATGACCTGAATTGCATTGCAGCATTCATCCAAGCTGCACACAACTATGGGGTTTGCATAGAGTACTCTGAAGCTTTTTCATCTTCAGATCCACCACATGTTCTTCAGAAAATAGTACAAACCATTGAGCATTCCACTTCAAAGGTTATCATTGCTTTCACAAGTCATAGAGAAATCAAACKGCTGGCTTCTGAGTTGTACAAAGAGAACATAAAAGGGCTGCAGTGGATTAGCAGCAATGCATGGATCATGGATCCCTCGTTGGCAGACAGCGAAGGATATGCAATCCTGCTGGGCTCACTTGGCTTCACTGTTGCTAAAGCAGAGATCCCTGGGCAGGAGGAGCATCTAACTCAGCTCCACACTTCACAGTTTCCTAACAGTCAGTTTGTCAGAGATTTCTGGGAAGATGTGTTCGACTGCTCTCTTAACAAAATTGTGAACTCACAAAAGCAGCCGTGCAGTGACTTTGAAAGCTTGCAAAACATTTCCTCACAGATCACTGATGTGTCTGAGCTCAGATTTACTAAAAATGTTTACAAGTCAGTCTATGCATTGGCTCATGCTCTTCACAGTTTGAATAAATGTGATGATGATAAAAGGCTGCTCWCTAATGTGAGCTGTTACAACACTAAAAACATTCAACCACGGCAGGTGAGAATTTGACCCTCATTCTGTGAAAAACTTATATCAGGAAACATACTCTTTTTTGTTTTGTTTGTTTGTTTCCCTAGGTATTGCAGTATCTAAACTGTCAATTTCACCACTGTGGATGGGGAAAGAGTTTATTTTGACAAAAATCGTGACTCACCTGCAAGATATGAACTTGTCAATTTACAAATTACAAAGGAACCATGAAAGGTGAAACTGTTGGCATTGTTGATGCTTCCCTTCAAGATGACAATCAATTCATTTTGAATGTAGGGGTCACCTTGAGTGAAGAAACAAGATTTACTGCCTCGAAGCAGGCCTCGCACAGGCCTGCTGAGAGGACAGGAACTCTGTCACAAACTGAGCTCTATTTTAGGCCATGACAGGTCATTTCAACCTAGAAGAGAATTTCTCAGTTCTCTTAATCAGATAATGGACAGAACAATCTCTTCTGTTTGTGATTTATTTGTTGTTTAACTAAGAATGTTTATGCATTTGTTAAATCATGATAATGACTGTCACAAGAAAAGTGGAACCACTTCTACTCTTTTATC